GAAGGTAGGAGAGGAAAAGAGCGCGCGAGAGTCAATTAAAAAAAGAAGACGAACCACCGAGAGGTAGAAACGTGCCCGCCAACTATTGAAGCCGAATCGGTGTTAACCCCGCCCCGCTCGACCGCTCCCTCGGCTTGCCCTCTGCCCATCGAAATTCGGCGAAGGCAGAGTAAGCGCCGGTTCTTTTGAGCGAGGAGGGATTCCTTGGGGCGTGGCGAGGGAGGCGCGCAGGGCACGTGCCCATCCCGGGTGCAACCCTGGCCGGGGTGGGGTGGGGTGGGGGAAATAGACGGGGGGGGAATGCGCGCCACGCGTGTCTCGGAAAGACCAAGCTCGGCGAGTGTCGAGGTGCCTCCGTCCGGACTGTTGAGGGCAAAGCCATCCCCATCTGCAAGACCGGGGTCCTTCTCCACCGGAAAGCGACTAGATCCGTTTTATTCTGCTTCTCCCACCCAGGTGAGGGGATTCCTGAAGTGCTGAAAACGTCCGCAATTTTTTTTGCACACTCCGTAGTTTGAAAGTCAGCCGGGTTGCCTTTGTGATTGGTGGTCAGGAGGTAAACACGGGTTTCCTTTATCTTTATCCCACCGGTCTAGCTTCAGGCTAATGGATTTCCGCTTCCAACGACAGGCTACAGTATCTGGGCCCTAAAGTTTGGCTCCTACATTTAGTACCCAGTATGGTCTCGTGGATGGAATGAGGGACTAGGACTCAGAAGACCTGGACTGGAATCCCAGATCTGCTATGGACACTCATTGGAGGTGGAGGACTGTGGAAACAACCTTTAAACATCTCACTTGCCTTGAAAGGGTGTTTGAGTTGCTCTAAGTTGCTTCTGACTTGAGGACACATTTGCAGATCACACACAGGCACCAACACACAATTCAGAAGATAGGCACTAGGCAGTAGTTATTTGCATAATCACCTAAGTTAGCAAGCAAATATCTGTTACAAGGAGAACATCATACTGCCTCGGCTCCATCACCTGTATGCTTCCTCTGGCAGCAAATGGAATAGGTCTGTTGGGCCCTGTCTCGACTGTTGCTCTGCCCACTTTCCTGGTTCTTCAGGCAGTGGACATGACTCAGATACCCATGATGCCCAGAAAGATCTGGAGCAACCACCACCCACTTTTAAATCCACCGGTGAAAATCGAGTCCACTGAGCCCAATTACTGCTGCCATACAGCCTGAAAGAGATGGTAGCTGGGGCCAACAGAGACATGGAACCAGATCTAGCTGAAGTAATAGTATGTAAGGGGAAAAACTAGCAGCCACCTTTGTTTCAGTTTATGGCAAGATTGTTCTATTTAGCCAAAGCATGGGAAAAAAAACCAAAACAAAACAATGGTTGTTGTAGGTTTTTCAGGCTGTCTGGCCGTGTTCTTGAGGTTTTGAGGAAGAAAAACCTCAAGAACACGGTCAGACAGTCCGAAAAAACTACAACAACTGTTGGATCCCGGCTGTGAAAGCCTTCGAGAATACGAAACAAAACAATTTTTGTTTATTTTATTTTTCAATAATCTTCACTCAGCAAGATTTCTTGCACTAAACAAAAATAAGGATAAGGAGTGTTATACAAATAAAGTATCCATCAGAAAATAGATAATCTAACGGGGAGAAATTCTTCAGAAATATTTCATAGTCTCTGCTACCGAAAAAGGCCTCTTGACAGGAGGTGCCACTATGAACCGTGATGTATGACTTTCTGGGCCCAATTCAAAGTGCTGGTTATTACCTATAAAGCCCTGTATCTCATGGGCTGTAGCTCCCCATATGAGCCTTCTTGGCTCTTAAGATCCTCAGAGGAGGCCCTCCTCTCAGTCCCATTGCTATCAAAGGTTTGCTTGACAGGAACATGAGAGAGGACCTTCTCTGTGGCAGCTCCCAGGTTGTGAGGTACTCTCCCTTGGGAGATCAGGCTGGCACCCTCCCTGTTATCCTTCCGCCTACAGCTGGAGACCCACCTTTTCAGACAGGCATTTAATAACTAAGTCCTGCATTCTGGTTTGTAGCTTAGTAAATTGTTTTTATAGTTTTAAATGTTTTTAAACATTGAACGTATTTCAAATTATTATTATGGTTTTAATCCTTTATAATACATAATTTATTGTGTTTTTAATTCTGCTTGTTTTAAAGTGGTGAGACACTGTGAATCCCCTCATTGGAAGAAAGGCGACCTACAAATTATATTAAATAAATAAAATAAATAAATATGCAAACGATCGAACATACCACAAAATATGTCTTCTCTCATATTTTCAAACGATTGTTTAGAAACAGTCCACAAAGCAAAGCACTTACGGTACATTCATTACTCTATGCCTCTATTGCTTTAATAAGCACAATACATTTTTGTTACATATACATAATCGTTGTGCTGAACTGCGTTTGTATCTGCTTGGAGAATAAGCTGCCAGATATACTTATACTGAATGGCACAATATTGTCTAACTTACTTAGGAACCAGCTTTCACCAACTTTGCTAATTTGCAGTGAGTGTTGACACTCTGAACATTTTAGTCTTTGGAGAATGAGAAGTTGGTGCTGCTTGCTGTCAGTTCAGAGATCTCATCTGTCCCTGCATGAGCTCTAAAATAGGAAGAAAAGATGCATATATTGTACATCCCACCTCATTCCAGTATGAACCCCGCCACTAACCTCACTCTTTCTAACTTGATGAATAATAAAGATGCCATTTACTATAGTGGGGTGGAAGGCATGGAGGAAATAAGAGGTGAGATAAAGTAACATGTAGAGCAGCAGGAAAAAAAAGGAAGAGGCAATGGTTGTTCCTTCTCTAGGTGCATTTTAGAGCTTTTAAAAGGGACACACAGGACCGCTGCGTTAACAGCTGACAGCCCTATCTGTAGGCGCAGAGATTCAACACATCTGAATTAAGAATTCAGAAAGGAAGCACCTGAATTCAGAGTAATGTGAATATACAGGTTGAAGTCAATGTTTCAAAAATTCCTCAGTGATTTCTAGAAATCAACCCATGAAATGAGTGTCCTGTGCGAACTACACAGAAGTGCTTCTGGTGTAGAAACAGATCCTGGGCAGGTTCATATGTATTCATATGTTACATTTTTTACTTTTCTCAATTGTTCTTATTTCCTATGCATGTTTGGAGCTACAGTGTATCTTTTCTCTCCCCATTGTAAGAATTTATATTTAAAAACATACTTTTAATTTAAAAGGATGAACAAAAATAATTGAGACAAGGAAAACAATAAACTACAACTTTAAAAGTCAAAATAAAGGTATATATATATATTGTTTTGGTTGCGCATACGTGTTGATACACAAAGATGGCATTTAGGTGTAAATAAATAAATATTCTTGTAGCCGTAGCTGTGTAAACCAGCCATGTATTATTTAACATTTACTATTACATGTCCCACATATCTGAAATTTTGCCTCAGCCACAAAAATTAGGCATTTCAATATGATAAAATCAGCATTAATGCAAATACTGAAGAGCATTACTAGAAGAACAGGTGCTTTGGAAATTAAAACAGGGAGCAAGGAAAGGAAATACAAGAGGTAAGAAAGGAAATAGGTGTGGTAAGACACATACATAGAAAAGAGAAGGAATGAGAAAGGAATTCAGATTTCAAGCTTCAGGGGGAAAAATGGCTTTATATCTGAGTTGGGATCTCCCAGCACAGTGTGTGTGCTCAACAGCCATGCGAGCTGCGCCTTTAATGCAAACAGGATGTTCATCTGTAACTTGTGCATCTCTTGGGTTTGGAGGGATTAAGAAAAACACTTATTACACTTAATTGTCTCCAGTGCTGCTCTTGGTGCTAGATGCCTCACTTTATGGTTTAATAAGCTTCATGTTGATATAAACTGAATGACAATTAACATTAGTGCAGGTTGAGTTCGTATTTAATGTGACTCACGGGTTTGCACTCCACGTGCTTGCACTCTGTGGTTTCATTTCACTTATCAGCACCTCCTCATTAGAACAGCTCCTGGTGTTAGGAACAAATCAATGCCTTTTCTCCAAGCAGGGAAGAGATCGCTCCTGCATCCTGACATGGTGCGGTCCTTTCTGTGTAGCTTTCCTAGGAGAATTGAAAAAGTAACATTTGTCCCCTCTTAGAAGCAGGACACAGCCTTTCAAAAGTCATTGAAAGTACTTCTGAAAGAGAAACAGTTGGGATGTACATCTTTTCTATTATCCAGGTCAAGAAGAATGTAATAATCAGCTTCAAACAACTTGTTTTTTTTTTAAAAAAATACTTCTGTCTCTGACTATATTCAAATAAGTGTGGAAATTGTTCAGTTCCTCTAAATGCCTCAGATGTCTTGCTTACTTCTATAAAGTAATTGGACATTTATTCAGATATGGTTTCAGAAGAGGTAGTCTCCTTTTGATAGCTCTGAGAAGTACCATTCCTGAAGTCACAAGGGCAAAAGACGGAATGATTAATCTCTGACTTTTACTGATCATTTTTGAAGTCATAATTGGATGGGACAAATAGAAAGATACACCGATTAATCTGCAACTTTTACTGATGATCTTTCTAATCCAAAGAAATGTACACAGACAGACAGACAGACAGACAGACAGACAGACACACACACACACACACACACACACACACACAATGATACACACAACCCAAACAATTTTATAGTGGCCATAAAACTTTATGAATGGGGGCAGAAATCTTTGACAGACTTCCAAACAGAGCTTAGAAAGTTAGTTTTAAGGAGGAATGAATATAATGACA